TCATTACAAGAAGACATCTGTGTTTAACAGTGATAAAATTAATTCTAATACCGTATAAGTACTTATTTCTGCGGGTTTAATATTCTGCGATTTTTGTTAAAACAAGATATGTTTGTAAAACATGTATGCCCCCTATCAGCAGCCAATTAGTCATGTGATAAGGTTATTATGCATGACGTCTGACCCAGTGATCAAACAATTAATAAGGGTTATAAAGTATCTACTGGTCATGACCTTGACCTTTGACCCCTTGACCCAAAACTCAATAGGGGTCATCTGCTGGTCACGACCAATCACCAGACAAAGTTTGAAGTTCCTAGGCCTAGGCGTTTTTAGTAAATTGATCAGAAACCGTTTTTACCTACAAGGTCAATGTGACCTTGACCTTTGACCCCTTGACCCCAAAATCAATAGGGGTCATCTGCTGGTCATGACCAATCACCATGCCAAGTTTGAAGTTCTTAGGCCTAAGGGTTCTCTTATTATTGATCGGAAACCGTTTTAACATACAAGGTCAATGTGACCTTGACCTTTGACCCCAAAATCAATAGGGGTCATCTGCTGGTCATGACCAATCACCATGCCAAGTTTGAAGTTTCTAGGCCGAAGCGTTCTTAAATTATTGATCAGAAACCGTTTTTACTTACAAGGTCATTGTGACCTTGACCTTTGACCCCTTGATCCCAAAATCAATAGGAGTAATCTGCTGGTCATGACAAATCACCATACCAAGTTTGAAGTTCCTAGGCCTAAGCGTTCCGGAGTTATTGATCAGAAACCGTTTTTACTTAAAAGGTCAATGTGACCTTGACCTTTGACCCCAAAATCAATAGGGGTCATCTGCTGGTCATGACCAATAACCATGCTAAGTTTGAAGTTTCTAGGCCGAAGCGTTCTTTAGTTATTGATCAGAAACCGTTTTTACTTACAAGGTCATTGTGACGCTTGACCTTTGACCCCTTGATCCCAAAATCAATAGGAGTAATCTGCTGGTCATGACAAATCACCAATACCAAGTTTGAAGTTCCTAGGCCTAAGCGTTCTTGAGTTATTGATCAGAAACCGTTTTTACTTAAAAGGTCAATGTGACCTTGACCTTTGACCCCTTCACCTTAAACTCAATAGGGGTCATCTGCTGGTCATGACCAATCATCACACAAAGTTTGAAGTTCCTAGGCCTAAGCGTTTTTAGTTAATTGATCGGAAACCGTTTTTACCTACAAGGTCAATGTGACCTTGACCTTTGACCCCTTGACCCCAAAATCAATAGGTCATCTGCTGGTCATGACCAATCACCATACCAAGTTTGAAGTTCCTAGGCAAAAGGGTTATTAAGTTATTGATCCGGAAAGCATTTTTACCTACAAGGTCAATGTGACCTTGACCTTTGACCCTTAACGCCAAAATCAATAGGGGGTCATCTGATTGGTCATAACCAATCACCATACCAAGTTTGAAGTTCCTAGGCCTAAGGGTTCTTTTGTTATTGAATCAGAAAACCGTTTTTAATTAAAAGGTCAATGTGACCTTGACCTTTGACCCCTTGACCCCAAAATCTATACGGGTCATCTACTGATCATGACCAATCACCATACCAAGTTTGAAGTTCCTAGGCCTTAAGGTTCTTTAGTTATTGATCAGAAACCGTCTTTACCTACAAGGTCAATGTGACCTTGACCTTTGACCCCTTGACCCAAAATCAATAGGGGTCATCTACTGATCATGACCAATCACCATACCAAGTTTAATGTTCCTAAGCCTTAAGGTTCTTTAGGTATTGATCGGAAACTGTTTTTACCTACAAGGTCAATGTGACCTTGACCTTTGACCCCTTGACCCAAAATCAATAGGGGTCATTACTGGTCATGACCAATCACCATACCAAGTTTGAAGTTCCTAGGCCTTAAGGTTCTTTAGTTATGATTCGGAAAACCGTTTTTTGCTTTTAAGGTCAATGTGACCTTGACCTTTGACCCCTTGACCCCAAAAATCAATAGGGGTCATCTACTGGTCATGACAATCACCATACCAAGTTTTTGAAGTTCCTAGGCCTTAAGGTTCTTTAGTTATTGATCGGAAACCGTTTTTGCTTTCAAGGTCAATGTGACCTTGACCTTTGACCCCTTGACTCCAAAATCAATAGGGGTCATCTACTGGTCATGACCAAATCACCATACCAAGTTTGAAGTTCCTAGGCCTTAAGGTTCTTTTAGTTATTGATCGGAAACCGTTTTTGCTTTCAAGGTCAATGTGACCTTGACCTTTGACCCCTTGACCCCAAAATCAATAGGGGTCATCTACTGGTCATGACCAATCACCATACCAAGTTTTGAAGTTCCTAGGCCTTAAGGTTCTTTAAGTTATTGATCGGAAACCGTTTTTTGCTTTAAAGGTCAATGTGACCTTGACCTTTGACCCCTTGACCCCAAAATCAATAGGGGTCATCTACTGGTCATGACCAATCACCATACCAAGTTTGAAGTTCCTAGGCCTAAGGGTTCTTTAGTTATCACTCGGAAACCATTTGGTCTACGGACCGACGGACCGACAAGTGCAAAGCAATATACCCCCTTTTTTTCAAAATGGGGGCATAATAAGGGGTTTTAAATTTCTGCGTATCTTATTTCTGAGGGGTCATCATTCTCGCATTGATGTGTCTTAATTAAGATATTTTTGCAAAATTAACCTATAAAAACAAACAACATTTCAAAATTTGTTGACGTAACATGTTCCGGATAACCTGCAGAAAACAGATCATGTGTTTCGTCGTAATCATATTGTATCGATATATACACGTTAATAAACAAAAATTAAAAACGTGCTTTGGCAACAATTTTAATACTGTATTGAATAAATATGAAGTGTGAAAAATATATAATGGCAAAATCGCACGTAGTGTCCAAATACAAAAGGATATGTTTATTGCACCCATCAAACTAGAACAGTTTTATTTTACAAAAAAGAAATCAAGATAGGGTGAGCGAAAATCATACAAACATGATATTTATTTGGGAAAAATGAACAAGCAAAGTAACAATTTTTTTCTAATAATAAATTCACGACTGATACATAAAGAAAATTTCCCTTTTACAAAGGGTGATAATGGTACATGGTAATGTATTTATACAATACCGGTAGTTGACATATTTCGACATACCGAACAGGGAAAGGCTTAATTTTCTGCGGTTTTTAAATCTGCGGTGTCGTTATGAACCGCAGAAATAGCAGAAATAAAGTTCCCGCAGAAAAAAGTAATTATACGGTATTCAATAGACATTCAAGCTTATTATCATTTGTCATACCAGATGTTCAAAATACATTGTCATTGTGTATTATAATAGTAATAAGATATGTGATCATGGAAATGCCAGTTGACTATCTCATATTGCCAGTTAAACATTTGATCACTTGCAAAAATCTGCAAGTAGAAAATCTTGCTAGTCATACCAATGCATTGTGTTGTACATATGTTATAAGGCCTAAAAAAAAAAATGTTGTGTTTCCGGTGGCCCGATCGACCCTATTTTTTAGCGCCGACCCAAATTTTTTTATCGATGTACAAAAAAAAATGGCGCCCGTACTGACCGTACCGAAGACGGGTTTTAGTATTGCGAGTCGACAACGATGCGAGGCACAGACGATTCGTGTTCCAATTACGTATTAACGCGCACCGGCTAATATGGCGGCACAACAAGCAGCCGAAGTGTCACTGCTGGCGATTTTCTTTAAAAATACGATCATAGTTTGGCAAAACAGGAAATCAAATTAATAGACCACAGCAAAACAGCTCAAAACATTTTTCGGACGTGCATGGTCATGTTAAGAGTGATAATATTAAAATTGAAGCCAGTTGTTCGGTAAGAATAAAAAAAATGAAAACGAAAGTCGAGTCATGCCATAATTGCCATTGGTAAAATTTATTTCAAAATATAAGATTGAAGACTAGGTTTGGTAGTCTAACATTTTTAAGTACTTTTATATGCTCTAGAATATAATTTAAAGTCCATATAATCCGTATCTGACATATCTACAATCGTTGATTGACTAAAAAAAAAAAAAAAAAAGTCCGACCTACCGACCCTACTTTTTTTTCACCTCGCCACCAGAAACACATCAATCTTTTTTTTAGGCCTAACATTGAGTGTAAGTTTTTTAAAATCTGGAAAAAAAACTGTTGAAAATTGTTGAATAGACTATTGTGAAATTTTTTACAATTTTTAGTGGCCCTGATTAATCTTTTACAAATTTTCCAAGGTGATTTACCCTGCTGTTGAAATTTAGGTTAAAAAAAATTTTTTTCTGGGGGACTAACCCAAGTGGCGTCATTATTGTTTTTATTGAATTTCTAAGAAAAGATCAAGACTTGTTTGAAAATGTACCAACCTGAAAATGAATAAGTGTTAATAGATGCATTAATAGCTAAAATAAATTTAAAGTATAATTTCCCCTTCCATTTATTATTGGCTAAAAACAGCTTTTAAAACTGATTGAATATTGGTTGTCCCGGGATACTTCTGAGAAAAGTGAAGTGGTGACAGGTTGGTCACAAAATATTACCACAAAACCACAGCATGGCCTGTTAAGTCAATAATTAATTGAACTTAAGACCGATGGTCCAAGTGTACAAAAAATGTCACCATGATCCCTCACCCATTCAGGAACCGGGTGGGTGGGGTACTGTAAACAAATAGCGTTTCCAAGACTATAATTACAAGTGTAAAGTACTCAAAACGTATTTCAAATCGTCAAAATAAATTCTACAGCAGAAGAACTCGTCTACTTTTAAGTAGATGGATTTGGTCTAATATTTAGTCTATCTATGCAGAACATGTTGGTTCGTGAAATTCAGAAAAAATAAATTCAGGAGTCACATGGCGTTTGTGTTTCCGTGAAAAATTCACAAAATAATTGTTTTTATTCACTATAAGTGCTCTGTTCATCAGTTTATTAAATTTCAGTTTATTGAAAATGCTTGAAAAGTGAAATTAATTCAATCTTACCATTTTGAAGTTAAATTGTCAATAAAATTGCTGGACGCACGAGAATGTTCGACTACGGTGTAAACTTTCTGCGATGCAAAGTACCGTCGTTGCCATCTACAGTATGTTTTTATGAATACAAGAAATATCGTTGTCATCACGCAACACTTTTTTGTGGTGTTATACAAATATTGTATTATATCACACAGGAACTTGCTTGAAAATCCATTAACAGGCTAACAAGAGAAAATGTAGTAAATCAGGGCCTACTCTTGGCAGCCTGTAAAATATACCCCATCCAAACCTTTATGAAAAACTATTTCGGGTATTTGATTGAAAACCGGATTTTGTATATATTGCTATTGACAAAAGTTCATGCAATCGTGCAACTGAATGTCTGAATAGTTAGATGTAGTAACTGATATATGAACGTATGAATGGATAGATGTTTTATATGGAATTGATAGATGGTTGGATGGATGGATGGATGGATGGACGAACGGACGTTTTTCTCTTATCGACATTTCAGGGTTATTTCTATACCGCACCTTTTCGGGCCTTTTCCGTCAATCGATCTCTATTTAAAACCCCATATGCAACATTTTTTACTCCATGAAAAAAAAACAAAACGTTCGCTCATCAACTATACTGTAGCTGGGATGTACTATAACGTATGTTCCAGACTGTAAGATCGATGTTCCTGACGGACAGACAGACAGACGGGAGTTCTAACGAGACGGTAATTATGTGGCTACTCTAGATATTGTTCTCTTTATTGTTCTTATTAGCCACACAAAAGAAAATAGCCACATAAAAACATTTCGAAATGAATGACATCAATTAAAGAGAAAGAACAGTTACCTATTGTCCTTCTAGCCACATTATTACTATCCCGTGAGAGCGGACAGACGCACATTTTGACACTTGTTTTAGATTGATATACCATTCTTTTTTAACCCATAAAACATAAAGACATACAAAACTCTCAAGGAAATTTAGAATTGATAGCACCAAAGAAAATTAACTGTTTCCTATTGTTACTGTAGCCATATAAAACCCAAATGTAAGCACGGACGAACGGATGGGCAAAAGGAGGATTGAGAACAGATAATTGTTTTTTGTATGGAGAAGGAAGTAAACGAATCAATTACATGTTGTAAGAAATTAATGATTATGAACTATTATTGACTTAAAGATTAGCAGAAATTCAAACAGTGATCTTGATGCACACAGTGTTGTAATTTCATTTTATTAAAATACTATACATGTAATTGATTAATTTAAAACAAAAGAACTGCGTGAACATTTCAAGTTTGATAAGTTTGAGTTAAAGTCAATATTTATGAATTGATATTCCTATTTACACCATAAAAAGTAGCATTATGCCCATCCAAGGGTATATATAGTGAGTGAACAGGTGAAAATCAAAATAAGTTTACATTTTGCCATATTTCCATTCATACGAAAGTAACTTATATTAAGAAAGTATCAGAAAATTTATTTAGCTCTGTATTGTTATAAAGCTTTCAAATCAAGCTAGGTATTCTCAATCATAATAATATAAAATTTTCCACATCATTTATTTTTTTCATTTAGCTTTTAGAGTTTATTGTTTATTATATTCTCACTGAGTATAGCTTAAGGGAATATTTTATAGGTTAAGCAATAAATAATCACAAAAAAGTACTTGGAACAATTCGATTTTGAAGACATTTTATTCAATGCAGTTTGTTACATTTTGAGAAGCTGGAAATAAAACTTAAAATAGTATCTTCATATGTTTTTTTAAATTCCTTCTTTTCATTTATGAACGTGCTATTGATCAGCAAACATTAATTACAGTAACAAGTCGTACGAAAGAAAAGCGATGCGCAATTTTCTATTTCCTTTTATTTCTTCAAGCTAAATATAAAAGTGTAATGCAACTGATAATTCAGTATTAACATTGTTTTTGCAAAACCGCAAGTTCTATGAATTTGTTTCTACATGCATATTATATGTTTCTGGGTTCAAATATTATTTTATCACACAGAGTGGCGACCAAGGTGCTTTTCCAAAATTTCTGTGCCGACTTCATGCTGTGCATGAATGTCTTTTCTTACATAGCAGACTAGCGTTTCCGCAAGTTTTACACATGCCGGAAATTTCATCTGGCATGGGGGTGCCAGATGAGTCGCGTGAGTGTGTGTGTGGTTAAGTTTATTTTAGCTCTTCGCCGGAATAACCATATGTCCGAGATGTCAGCGTGCAAGATGACTTGACCTTGACCTGCCGTGTGCCTTCTCCGCAACGTGCACGCCTCTGGAGGGATTTGGAGAAGGGGAAGTCGCGTGCCATACAACATCATTTTAGTGCATTTTGAATGAACCGCGTTAAACTGACGTCATTTTAGAAGGAAATTTTGTGCTTAGGATAAAGTCATTTTGTTATTGAAGTTGTAAATTCATACGCTATTGTAAGATAATAGTAGTGGATGAAATTACTTTAATTTTCATGAACAAATATCTTATTGAGGTAAATCATTTTAAATATGAAATAATATAGCAGAATATGCAAGAAAAAATATCTGACCGGATAGGAATATCCATCCCTCCAGAACTCGCTCATGGACGGGGTCCCCTCGGGACGGATATTCCGATCTGAATCGCAATATATATGGCAGATATTATTATTCTGGTTGTATTCTTATTGAGAAAGACTAAAAAAAGTGTTGAGGCACTAGACTAAATAGTGTATTCCGGTATTTACCGGACTAGGCATTGAATGATTAAATGCTAAAATCTCACCCTTTCACTTTAAAACTTCTAATTCATCTCTTCACAACGATTTATATTCGATAGTGAATGAAAAATGTGAGAATCGACGAAAAAAACACGATATTTTTCTACTTTTCCATCATCATTTCTGCAAGCTTCTAGAGGTACTCCCCCAACACTATAGTGAGTTAAATTCATTCTTATTACCTTGCAACAGAGGGAGGAATACACTCAAACCGAACAAGCATTGTGTTTATAAAGTGACACTAGTTCAATAGTAGATCGAACCCTAGAACTATTGTTTACAAACTTATAAATTTATATTATTATAATAAAAAAAAAAATAACAGGACTAAGTGATAACTGACTTTAATAATTTTTGGAACATCACTGCAGTAATGTTTTGAATTTGAAACATTCTTCGGAACAAAACCATGCCGAAATTGTTCAGATGATAGTGATATTGGGGTAGATTTATGTGTAGATTCACTAGATTGCAACTCGGAAATAGGAAATCAGGATAATGCCCTATGAAAACTGGTTCCGCTATTACTGTACACAAATGAATGTGCGCTTAATAACAGTAAAAACAATGGAGTTCTTTGGATCTGTGAACACTGTAGAATAAGCATGCCCAGATATCACAAATTAATAAAGAGTTTATCTGTTCTTAAAGACAATTCAACTAAAGCAGAGAAAAACATAAGGATTTTGAGAGGAAACCCTAATCTTTAGAAGACAAGTTATTCCAAGTCCTTGAGAAAAGATCTACTGAAGCCATTATAATGTCTGTCCAAGAAAATAAATGTAAGTAGTGGTTCTACTGGATCAATTTCAGACGTTGTTAACCAGGTTCTAAATGAACAGAGGGAACGTGAACCAAGGAAGTTGAATGTTGTATGTTATAGTCTTCCAGAAAGTTCAAAAGAATCTCACGAAGAACGCAAAAATGATGACAAAAGCAGAATCAGTAATATATTATCAGAAATTACGAATCTGCCTGAAGTATCCTTTCGGAAACAGTCGCTTGGGAAAGTACGACGTGGAGAAGACAAGGCCTACAAGATTTTCAGTAAATTCTATTGGTTTGAAACAGGGCTAGAGTAAATGAAAGATTTCGTCTGTAGAATTATGTAATATTTATATTTTAATAAAGTGATCTCACCCTAAAGCAAAGAGAAGAGGCATATTAACTTGAACGTAGAATGAGAAAAGATGTGTATTCCTCACAGTTAGCAACCATCTCAGGAGGTACATCTAGTGAACCTGGGTTACCTTTTCTTTACATGCTTTAGGGAATATGAAAAACATAAAGCTCCTGTATATAATTTCAATGTTCCAGTTCGTAACAGTTTTGTTGTTCCAGTTTCAAACGTTCCAGTTACAGACGTTCCAGTTACTGTCGTTCAAGTTATTGATGCTCCAGTTGTTGATACCAGTTATTCAAGTTATGGACATGATGCTTCGTCTTCAAATTTTGAGCTACTTAATGCTACATTAGAATCGAGTGATTCAAGTATTAGTTACTCTGCTGCAGATGAAACTAATTCAGACATTAGTGATTAAGATACTGAAAGCTCTTGTGTACTTAGTGAAGATATTATTTCTCGCGAAGATGCCGTAATATTGCAGCAACTAGTGATATGTTTAACATGTATTATACAAATGCTGATAGTTTACTCAATAAAATGTAATGAACTTGAAATTGAGATTGAATTAAGTAAACCAACTATTATTACTGCTCAAGGTCTTCCCTAAACTTGGACTTTCTATTGATATTGACAGTGCTGAATTAAAAATTACAGGATATGACATAATTAAAAGTGATATCAAGGAAAAATCAAGAGGTGTATGTATTAACTACGTGAATAACATGCCAGTACAGGGTTGTTCGGTTTTGAATGAGTATCCTTATTAGGAGTCATGTTGGTGTTCTGTGATGCTGAATTCTAATTCTGCTGTTTATAGAAGCCCTACAAGTACAGATCTTAATAATGGTAAAATATGTGATTTATTAGACTATGCATGTAATTTATCACATGATTATTTACTTGTTGTTGGTGTTTGAATCTACCATCTATCTCTTGGGAGGATTGGAGTACTCCACACAATGTTCACCACATAGATTTTAAATCTATAGAATGCCTTCGTGATAATTTCCTTTCACAACTGGTTTCTACCAACTCGATATCGGCATGGACTGGCCTCAAATATTCTTGACTAGGTTTTGGTGTGTGATTGAAATATTATTTTAAAATAATCTAGGTGCAAGTGATCATGTTGCTTTAAATATAGTTTTGAATTTGAATCATGTTGAAAAAATGGTTCCAAGAAGAAACGTCTTAAAAGGAGACTACTCTGCTATTTCTTC